GTTGTGCGAAGGATTTTTCGCTAGGTGAGTCTGGGAACAACATTGTTCACTGTGCGAAGCATTCTTCGCTAGGCGAACAGTGCGATGACAGCAAATTCTTCTACGCACCATAACTTAATTCAACCCAAAAGTCCACACGATTCACTTCTCCAATGCCTCCAAAACATCCCTAAATCATCCCTAAGGTCTTACAGCGATAAAGGCACAAAACCTACGGTTCATTAGGCCAATCCCGTATCATATTCACGCCCTAAATCACAAATTCCTTACAATTACCCTGCAGGCATCAGAGTTACTCACTATCTAATATTCATATCCCTTCAAGGTTAGACAAATAAAAAATAATGGTTTTGGTCATGAAGGCCTAACTTTCCCTTTTCCCCAATGAATTCCACGATTAGATTCACAATAATAGATTTAGGCCACGAAGGCCAAAGATCACTAATTCTCATATCCACCCTCAAAATCCTTAAACCTTAAATCGACCTTAAATACATTGAAAGTTACACATGGAAAATCATGAAGGTAATACTCCCCATACCTTAATTGTTAATCAAGGTCTTCTCAAATATTTCAGGGAACCTTTCGAAGCTCTTGCCTCCAATCTTCCTCCTCAGAGCTCTGGCCTCAATTCTTTTCACGGTCTAACAAATGAATCTTAATCTCTTCACAATTTCCTTTTTGTTAAACCTAGTCTTGGGTCTCACAATTGGGCTTTTCCCAACTTACCCTCACTAACTCCTCTTAAATATTCAATTTGCCCTTAGTCAACTTGTATTTATTTTAATTAATAATAATATTAATATATTCATATTATATACTATTATTCAAAATAAATAACCCAAATTCCATTAATTTCCAATATTTCACAAAACCACCGAAAATAACCGAAATATGAATATTCTTATTTAAATCAATTAAATTTGGAGTATTACATTGTGCCAGAAAGAAAGTTTCCTACCATCACCAATTTCACACTGCAAATTATCCACAAAAATGTCACTTTGGACCTCTTTATCGAAACAAATTGATGACAAATCTCTCCACCAAATTGAATCCGATTTTCTCCCGGCACTACTATTATAGCTCAAAACTTCTGTTTCAATACACAAATTAGAATATCTATGCTCCATCAATCTTTTCCATAACGAACCCTTTTTCAAAAGTATATGCCATTTCCATTTCATTAATAGAGCTTTGTTGAAGAGAGCTAAATCCTTCACCCCAATCTACCATTAACCTTTGATTTACACACTGATTTCCAACTAACCCAATGTATCCTCGACCCACTATCCTTTCCTCCCCATAAAAAAATTCCTTGCAGATTAGCAATAGTCTTCAAAACCTTCACTAGAGCCTTATAGAAGGATAAAGAATAAATTGGCAACGAATTAAGAATCAAATTATTAAGAACAACTCGACTCCCTAAGAACAAACCTCTACCTTTCCACACTTCCAACCTCTTCTGAATGTTATCTAAAACATGAGCCCAAGATGATAATTTCCTAGGGCTATCCCCAACAACAATACCCAAAAAGAAAAAGGGTAACTTACCGATTTTACAACATAGAAAGTCCACCACAGCTTTAGAAAAACCTTCAAGCAAGTTAACTCCATACAAGCTACTCTTATGTAAATTGACTTTCAATCCCGTAACCGATTCGAAAGCTCGTAAAATACCCTTAATACTCCAAAGAATATCCCAATAAAATTTTCCTAAGAATATCGTATCATCGGCAAACTGGAAAATACTAAAACTCAGCTCCTTATTAACTTTGAATCCTTTGAAATGCCCCATCTTGACCGCCTTTTTCGTAAGCATGGTTAAGCCTTCCATAACAAGCATAATGAGGAATAAAGATAGAGGATCTCCCTGGCGTAAACCTCTATTAACAATAAAATCCTTCGATGCACTCCCGTTAATCAACACCGAAGAAGTACTTCTGAAAACTATCGCTTTCATCCAACTAGACCATTTCTCCCAAAGTTCATTTTAGAAAGGAGGAACCTCAGAAAGTCCCATGAAACACAATCGTAAGCTCTTTTGTAGTCGACCTTTAAAGCCAAACACTCTCTCTTATCCCTTTTCGTGATATCCAATATTTCATTCACAACTAAAACTCCATCTGCTATACTTCTTCCAGTTAAGAAAGCCGACTATTCAACATAAATAAGTGATCCAATAACCTTCTTAATTTGGGAAGCCAATAATTTAGACAGAATTTTCTGCATACAACTAACCAAATATATCGCCCTATAATTTGTAAGATATTGTGGGTTCTTAACCTTTGGAACTAAATTCAGAAAAGAAGCAGTAAAAAATTTCATGAGCTTTATATTAATGAAGAAATCCTTAACAAACCTAAAAACATCATCATTAACCGTATCCCAACATTTATGTAAAAAAGCAAAAGAAAAACCATTCGGACCCAGGCTTTTACTTCCATTGCAGTCCCACACAACTTCCCTGATTTCAAGATTAGTGATTTCTGCCTATAAGGAAGTACTTTCCAAATGAGAGAGGAAAGTAAAGTCCTTCCCTTCAAGCCACATTCTATTAGTATTGGTTTCAGAAAAATTGCACTGAAAATGATCTCGAATAGCCAATTTAAAATCCTCTACTTCCTCCTTCCTTCCTTCTAGTGTGTCAACAAAATAAATGTTGTTTCTCCTTTGCCTACCTTTCATTGCTCTATGGAAAAAGCCAGTATTGTTATCTCCCTCTTTTAGCCACAACATCCTTGATTTATGCCTAAGAAGATTTTCCTTCATATTCAAGTGATTCCAAATCTCAACAGCTGCCTTGGATCTATCCTCTAGAAGCTTATCAACCTCTAGCCTAGTAACTCTGTTCTTGCTAATCAATTCATCAAGATCATTCAACTTATCAACCGAATCATACACCTTTAGATCAATCCACCCATAGACTTCTACACTCCACTTCCTCATGCCATGTTTAATCAATCACAGTTTCTCTTTAAAAATGTAGTCGCCTCTACCATGAACCACCAAAGAATCCCACTCCTTCTTAAGAAACTCTTTAAAATCCGGATGCTTGAGCCATCCATTATTAAACCTAAACGACTTTGGGCTCCAATTAACTCTACTAGATTTCATCCAGATAGAGCATGGTCAGAGATATCACGCTTACCTACAACTTGCCCAACAATGCTCCATTCCGAAATCAAGTTATGCAAGATGAGAAAGTGATCAAGTCCACTCATAGAAAAACCATATCCACTAAACCAAGTAAATATCCCTCAAATAGTAGGAACATCAATACAATCTAAGTCTTCAATGAAATTGCTGAAATTCTGAATCTCATATATGCGACCACCATCACTAACACCAATTCTTTCATTAATCCTTGAAAACGTGTTAAAATCTCCACCCATAATCCAGCTGCTTCTGTTAAGCCTAGTCTCCAGAGCCACAAGATCTCTCCAGAACCTCCTCTTCAAAGCAAACAGGCAAGGAGAATAGACGTTAATGAAAAAGATATCAAAGCCCTTCCAAGCTGCATTGATGCCAACAAACCCAATTCCCCTAAAACTAAAGTTAAGGTTAAGGATACCTTTTCTCCACAATATGATTATACCCCCCCTGAGGCTCCACATGCTCCAGATTTTGTCCATTCCACATCAGGATTTCCTCACAAAGACATCGCCATTTCCAAATTAATAGCAGCTAACTTTGTTTCTTACACAAAACACATGTCCACTTTGCCTGACTGGATCAAATAAGCTAGTCTCCTTCTTTTAACCACGCTGCCACCCCCTCTTAATTTTATGGATAGAATATTCATTGATCAATAATAGATTTACACACCTTCTTTGCCGCTTCTTCTTTATCTCTAAGTTCCAGCAATCTGATTTGTTCTTCTAAGGATTCTTTACCACCACCTCCAGTGACTCCAAGAGAAGTAATCATTTCCCTAATTTTCATTGAAACCTTTGATCCAATTCCGCCCAAAATCTCTTATTCCCCTGAAAAACTTCAGAATCTATAACCGAGTGACATCTAGAAACAAAATCAATTGATCTAGACACTTTCACCTTCTTCTTCTTCTTCTTCGTCTGAACAAAACTACCTATACTATTACAACTGGATTCAGAAATAGAAGAGCTCCTATAAACTTGAACTCTTCTACAAGGAGGGGGATTGAGTGAAGGAACTTCAACCAATTCAATGGCTGGATGAGAACAAGGGGAATACTTAACAAAGGATCCTAAACTCTCTTGAGATACTAACCAATCCTTGGAACTCTTGGGGGAGTTATTATCCTTAAGCTTCAGCTTACTATTCGTATGGCCCAAAATAACTCCAGAAACATGGGTCGGTTGGTCCTTAAGAAAGCTGTCAAAATTCTGAGGCTGGCCCACAAACTTTTCAACAAAACCAAGAGGATCCGAGATACTAGGTCCCACCAAAAGCTGAGGGACAAAAGCTATAACCACTGCTTTATTGAAATTTGAAACCTCAACATCATTAGGGACTTCATTAGACAAACGACAATAGACTCTATGATCCTTATTGCCACAACCTACGACCTTCTGACAACTCCAATTGCCTAAAGCAACAACAGGTACCTTTTTAGTGCTATCACCCTGCTCAGACCCTGAAAGGATATTACCTCGAGACCCACCCTCCTGACAATCCACAATATTTTCATCATGGCTCAAGAAAGCTTTCCATGATGAACTATTCTGACTACCCTCAGAATTAGACTCTGGCCCCAAACATTGTTGCTTAACTACTCTTGAAGAAGGCCCAAGAGTCTCTTCTACCATCCTTATCCTAAATATAACTCCATTGATATTAACTTTGATGATTTTGTTAATAAGTATACCACAGGTAGTTCTCACCATAATGCTAACAACATCCATTCTAGAAGCGTTAGAGGTGGAATCTTTACAATTGACATACTTACCAACAATGGAAGAGAGCCGTTCTAAGAATCCCACATTCCACGCATGACTAGGAATTTCGTAACATCGTAACTAAGTTAACCTTTCGATATCAACATCTTTCGCCCTCCACTTTCTCACTTCAGAAAACCATTGACTTAGCCATCCAAAAGCTCCCTCAACCAAAGCTTCCAATTCACCCTCTTCGTCTTCTTCAAGTAGGCAAAGATTTTCCCCCAATGGCGTAACTTTCAAAGCAAAATAGCCTTCAACATGGAAAGAAATTTGCATACTATACGTAGAACCCAGATTTAACACCTTCCCTGTGTAAGCTCTTTCAAACCTCTACAATTCTTCCTTACCCATGTCATGCCATTAACTTGCCTTCCTTATGAAGCAATTCTGATGCTTTACGAGTTGACTCCGTGTAAGATTTGACATTCACAAACGACTCCCTATTATGAAAATCCTTGGTTTCATTTGGAACACCATACTTCCTACGATTTTCCTTTTCACCAATACCCTTATCTGCCTTCTTATTCACCCCTTTAGAGAAAGCCTCTCCAACCACTCGTTGGAACCTTATAAGGTTATCATACAGTTTCTTTCCCCTAACCATAAATTGTCTAACTTCAACACCAAACGTCTCACGTCCTCCACTTCAGAAAAATGAATAAAACCATACTTTTTGCCTCTCTTGTCCCTTTTAGCAGGGATAACGACCTCGTCAATCATCCCGAACTCTTCAAAATGATTGAAAAGGTCCTTGGCCCTCATGCACTCTAGAAACTCTATGATAAAAGTAGTTGTCGTAATAATACCTTTCTTATCATCCTTCATCTTCCAGTTAGTCTTGGTATCTCATTTAGATTTCCTATCTTCTTTCCTGTTAGAAACTCTAACACAATCATCATTTTCATAAGACTTTCTAAAACCCACCATGAGACCCTTGAAGAAGTTAGAGAGAAGGGAGACATTCTCTCTCTAAGAATTCATTAGTAAGTTCTTTATTAATGTTCCTATGTTGATGTGGTTTTTATTAACACCTAGTCACTTTTAAATTGATTTGTGATTCACGATTTAAAGCAAAAGTAGTTTTATGAGTGCTTGATATTAGATATCCATCATGCCTTCGTAGTTTTAAGATAGACGTGAATTTGTGAAATCAAAATTTTTTTTGGGTAAAGGTCGACTGCTCGAATAAAAAAAGAAGTCGCGCGTAAGAAATGTTCAGTTTGTGCAAATTTGTCGTCCAATGTCATAATGACTCTGACTATATATTTTTGGATGCATAATCGACTTATGAGTCAAACCAATGGAATTTTTAAGCCATCAAAGTTTGTTTCAAGTCCGAAAGCAACATTTAAATAATTTTCACAATTTTAGCAATTTCTGTTTTATTTTAGCAACATTTAAACACTTTTGGGTGGGACCGTCAAAGTTATGTTTTACTATAATAAAATTCAATAGTTTTCTCTTTCTGGTGGATTATAGAGTTTTATCTAACAGATTTGTCACTTGCAAACTTGTGTTTTGTTCTACGTTTAGCACTTGTCAATCCTTCGTAATTCCGACTGCGTTAGGTGGTATCAAAACATATTTTCTCCCGTTTCTTTTTGTAGCTTGATCAACCATTGACCATAGAAGACCTTAAGTGAACTTTTGCAACTTTTACCATGACCATAACTACTTTGATTGAATAGATGACGACTTTAACTACTCAGATGAACAATGTAAACAACAGTGGGAACCGACAAAGAGACAGGAGAAGAGAATCAGTTAGGGTTTTGAAGGGTATAAACAATCATGCAATTATTGCTGGAATTTCGAGTTGTGATGAAGAAAAATCCGATGAGGAAGAGAGAGTTAGTTGATCATGGGAATTAACGTAACCATGACTATCGAGTGAATGATGATATTCAATTATTCTATGGAACAATGGAAGTGGAGGATTTTCTAGATTGACATATTGACATTGACATATTCTTTGACGTTATGGGTGTTCTTGAGAACAAGAAACTTAAGATGGTGGCGATAAAGCTGAAAAGTATTCTCGGTGTCTGGTGGGATAAACTTATTGTTCAAAAGTAGAGAGGCAAAGGAAATGGCCAATTAAAACTTGACAAAGAATGAAATAATTGATGCTGGAGCGCTTTTAACCAAATGATTATGAACAAATTTACCATAAGTATCACATATAAGAGAGTATAACATCCAACTCTCCATTTAACATAAACAGAATAAAAAGACATCGTTCGCCCCACCCAGTGTTACAGATCTGAGCACGTAATTCTAAAGACACAAACGAAAATTAAAGAAGAACAACCTCGCACCATCCTCTACTCTAGCAACTACTGAGTTACCTGCTTGTATGTACTCAGAATAGGAGCATAAACCACAACCACAATAACAAAGGTGTGAGAAATCACATTAATAAAGTAAGCGGTACATACTACAAGGTAGAGTGTCAACACATATACATATTCTACAACAATTGCAACACAACATCTCAAGAACACATTCGCACATAAAAACTCAACAATCACATACAAAGTATCATCATGCATATAACTCATTTATGCAATGCAGCTCGACACATATGCATGTGGCACTATATAATCAAAATGTTCCTTAGCGAATGGGTTCACCTACTCGAACCCCGAATCCACCCTACTCGAATTCGAGATAAGTCACCAAACCACCCTGTTTGGATTGCAACTTGCCTCTTTTATCAACAACAACGACATCATGAATGCATGTCTCATCATGAAACACCTTCTAGAAGCCTTACTAAGCCAACAAATCCTTAACCCTTATTTGCCATAAATCAAAATTTTAGGTTCCATCGATTTGAGTCACTTTCACTCCTCCACTAAGCCTAACCATGACTATGATAACACTTGTTGAGGATTTCAAAAAGCCTTAGAAGTTTTAATGAGCTAAATGTTCATGGATCCAAGAGATCTTAACACCCACAAATCCACCAAAAATCTTAAGAGTGTGTTTGGATGAGGTAATTGGTAATTTTTAATAAATTCAAAATTTTAAGCAATTCAAATGGTTCAATTGAAATCCATTCATTTTTTAATTCTTTTGATTGGATGAAGTATTAAAATAATTCATTGTTAAATTTTTGGGGTCATTTTTATATATTTAAAATTTTTTGGACCAAATTTTAAATATGAAAAATATGAACCAATTTATAATTTTTGAAAATTTAAAGGGATCAATATAAAATTTTTTAGGAACTTATTTGTAACTTTTGAAAATTTTGAGATGAATTTTGAAAATTTTGGGGGTGAATTTTGAATGGAAGGAATTGTTGTAAAACAAAACTTAAATAAAAGGGTAAAAAATTGCAATTTTTGAAAATTTGAAGGGACCAATTTAAAATTTTTTAGAAATTTATTTGTAATTTTTGAGATGAAATTTGAAAATTTTGGGGGTGAATTTTGAATGGAAGGAATTGTTGTAAAGCAAAACTTAGAAAAAAGGAAGTGTACGAAAAAACGAAGTGCTAATAGCCCTCTCCTATAAAGCGAGTTTGATAGAAACTGTCCTATTAACAAATTTTCGGGCCGAGCTGGGCCACTTTAATTCAACACCCGTGCCTGCGTTTCGTCCTCCAGACCCGGTTCGTGCAGAAAGTAAAAAGTAAAGTAAAACCCTGAGAGTAGAAGCAGTGTGAGTTAGAAGCGAAAGTGCTTCTACTCCAAAATCAATTATCAATATACAATGGCTTCTTCAAACAATTCCATAGCAGAAAACAAAAAAGCCAAAAAACCAGAAACCTCAACACCTACTAGCAAAATCAAAAAGGAAAAAGACGTAGAAAAATCCAGTGAGAAGAAGAAGAACAACGAGGAGAACAAAAGCAGCAAGAGTAAGAAGCTCAAGTTCGCCAATGGAAATTCCAAAGAAAAAGAAGATAATGGAATGAAACAAGAGAATGGTGCGGAAGAAGAAGGAGTAGGAGAAGAAGAAGCGAAAACGACCGTGTTTCCGATGAGTCGAATCAAGACGATAATAAAAGCAGAAATCAGCGATTTGCGTGTTTCTCAGGAAGCTATATTGGCAATTAACAAAGCTGCGGTAGGTTTATGAACATTTTTATTTTTATTTTTTCGTTTTTTGTTATGCATTTTTCGTTTAGCGTTTGCGTATTTTTTTTCTTTGCAGGAGAAGTTTCTTGAACAATTAGCTCAGGAAGCTTATGCTTGTTGTGCTCAGGATCGTAAGAAATATCTGAGTTACAATCACCTATGTAATGTGCCTTTCAATTTGTCTCTTTTTTTTTCATAAGCTATTACTTTTATTTGCTGCTTAATTGTTTGTGTGTTTGAAACTATGTGATTTCCTTTTTGTTGTTGTTGTTGTTGTTGTTGTAAGTAGTGTTTATACGCCATTAATTGTGTCTATATGGTAGTATCTAAGGGTGTGTTTGGATCGACGGTGAACAAAATTGATTCTAACAGAATTGAGTTTGGTGGAATTGATTTTAATAGAATTAAGTATAGCAGAATTGATTTATATTTGGATACATATATGTAAAAATGAGTTAAACAATAAATTTCAGTGTAAAAATCACACAAAATCAATTCTGGAGGTAGAAGCTACAAATTCTAGCTTCAAGTAGAATCAATTCTGGAGGTACAATTCTACTTTTGATAAAACAAACACCTCAAAATCACCCAGAATCAATTCTACACCTCTAGAATTGATTGTGTGTCTTTCAAAAGCCAATCCAAACATGCTATAAGTAGTGTTTGTGTCAATGCTTCATAGCCGCTCACCATATGGAATATAAGGGATGCTTTTCTTCGGTTAATATTGGTTTGGATATTTAAATTTTGTAAGCTATTAGGCTATAATTGAAGTGTAAATGCTTTTGAATATGAGAGATATATTTCGCTTTAACAGTTTAGAATTGATATATGAAAGTTATCAATTTTTACCTCCCTATGTATGGTTATCTGTCCGTGTATTGTATTTGACTATTTGTTACCTTGTGATTGGTTGTTTACCTGGTTTGTTGTGTTTTCCTAAATATTTGTCTTGAATAACCATGTAATTCTAATTTGACACTGTTCTTTTGTATGCACTTTGAAAAGGAACTGCATAGTAGAATTCTTAGGCATTAGTGGTTACACTTCTGAGGTGAATAATGGGTGGATGAGGTGAGTTTTTGATAGGAATTGGCTTCTTAGGTAGGGGATATCATACTAGTCTTGTTCTGGTAAAGTGAAGCATACAATCTTGCAGCTCTCCCAAATCAAATCTAATAATAGTAACTTTTGAATGAAAGGAGCATGAAAGCAAATCTGCACTGATCTCACTTTCATCTGAATTCCATTGCATCTACCCCTAGTTAGGACACGATGACCATCTCCTAACTTAACACCCAAAGGATTAGAAGGCACCATAGACAATCCCAGGGCTTCAACCACCTTAGGTGATATGAAATTATGTGTGGCTCCACTGTCAATAAGTACCAGAATTAATGCACCTTGTAAACATCCCTCCAATTTCATCCTCCAGACCTGATTTGGATTAGTGGATACACCAAACAGCCCCATGGTTTTACATTCTAATTCCTCTTGTGTGAGCTCTTCTTCCATCGCAGCCTCCAACACCACAATCTCTCCTGCATCGTTAACAATTTCGTCATCCCCCAAGATAATCACTCGTAACTGTCTTGTTGCACATTGATGGAGAGGATCCCATCGTTCGTTGCAACGAAAACAGAGTCCTTTCGCACGACGCTCATTAACCTCTGCACTTGGTAGATGGCGAACACCACGAGATTGACGGCGTGAATTGTCACCTAAATTTGGGCGAGAAGATGCTGTAGAATTGGTAGGACGTGTTGAGACGGTTTGAGATCCAGAATCCGAACCAGTCCGCGTTTGGCCCAAAGAATTATTAGGCTGGGTCTGAGTTGCAGATCCGTTCCCTTCCCCTTCGCGAAAAGCCCAATTAGGCTTTTGAGATTTTGTCCAAGAACCATGACCCGGTTTGTAACGTGCTCCAGAACCCTGTCCAGAAGCCACTGCAAATTCACTTTCAACATCACGAGCCAATTGCATTGCTAGGTAACGGTTGCGAGGCTTGAAGGTACGCACACGAGAACGGATATCATGACGTAAACCACCAATGAAATAACCTAGAAACTGTTGTTCTGGTAAACGACCACACTGTGAAGAATACAGTTCGAATTCAGCAATATATTCCTCTACGGATCCCGATTGTTTTAGTTCCTTTAATTCCTCAAACGGATTCTCCAAACGCCCACCTCCAAATCGAACCATCATCGCCTCACGGAGGTTCTCCCATGACACTTCCTCTGTTGAATCATGCCATAGGTTAAACCAATGGATAGTAGGGCCTTCCATACTCAATTTGGTCAACTGAATACGAACATCCTGCGAAATTCGTTGTACCTCAAAGTATGTCTCTGCCCGAGTGATCCATGCAACCGGATCGTCACCGGTAAATGCCGGCAACTCCACCTTCTTCGCAGATAAACGAAACTCATCCAGCGGTGAGGAAACTGTCGCACTGCTTGGCTGCGGCACTTCACGATGAGCCATTGCACGTTGAATCTCAGCACCAATGAACTCTCGTAACGCAGCAATGCTAGCCTCGACACCTTCCAACCTTTCTTCCACTGCAGAAATACGGTCAGCCATCTTAGGAGCTTTGGGCATGAACAATGGTAGGTCGGACCAATTGATAGAACAGAGGTATGATTTAATATGATAAAGAAAAGTATTTTATTAATGAATGTGAAAGTAAAATAAATTCCAGAGCTACTGCTCCTCAGTCAGAGAAACTATTCTCTCACTGCCCAAACCCTAATATCAAAAACAGAAAATCAATTAATGCCTCCCTACTGCCCCATACACTCCTTTTTATATGGAGAATAATCCCTAAACTAACTCCTATTTATATGGAGAATAATACCTAAACTAACTCCTATTTATTTGTGGAGTTTTCTATTCTTTCTCACATATACCCTCCATTGTTTAGGTCCAATAATATTTCTATTAACTAACACATTCCCATCATCATTTGTGGGATCCGATCCATTCCTATCAGTTTTTTCCCCACACTTATTTGTTATGGAATCTATCGATTCATGGGGGCCTGAGGGCATGTCATGTGATATGGTATCCACCCTGTTCATGTTATATAGCATTTTACATGTTGATTATCTCTCCATGTGACATGTTGATTATCTCTGATTGACATGAAATAAGATTGACCTATTATTAAGCATAGCTTAAATAGATCTGAGGTATGGTAAAAAACCATTCAACTTCTTCTGTGCTGTGAAATGTAAAAAGGAATGTGAATGTTTATCTTAATCTTTAACTTTGCTATTTTGTAGAATTTCTATGTCATTCCAAGCTTTTGCAAATATTACCTTTTCTTTCCCTGGGCAATATTGAAGGAAATATCTATCAAGAATAAAAAATTGACAGGTTTCGAAAGAAAAATAATTAATCTAACTCATGGAGTTAGGCACGGGCGTTTAATTCACTCTAAGCTTTTCGTTTTGATAATTTTTTCTGTGGCCTACATGAGTTGTAGAACTGGTACTTGCTATGTCCATTGTAATTATCCCTGTGCATGTTTATTTGTTTCCTTGCTTGTGCATCGTGACGGGTAAATATTTCCTATTTACTTATTAGACAGTTGCTTTGTATTTCAGCAAATGTTGTTAGTAAGCAAGGAAGATTCGACTTTCTGTCTGGTAACTTCTTATCCCTGTTGTAACTTTACCCAATAACTACTGAAACATTTGAAGTTTACTCTTCCATGTATTTATTTGACACTAATTAAAAGGATTCCTCCACTGTGTTTGCTTGTCCAGATTTTGTTCCTGAGAAAGTGAAAGCTGAGGAAGCACTAAGAGAGACAATCTCAAGAGGGGATAAAGGTGGTTAGGAATTGTAAAGCAAAGATAATTGATAATCTAATCCTGTACTTTTGTTTAATCTGTTACATTCTGGAATGGAAATATGTTTATGCACTGTTTTGCATTTCCATAATGTATTTATCTTTGCTCTGTTTAAAGTTACCATTCTATTATGGTTAGGTATTTTTTTTCAGTAATTATGCATACTTGATGCCTGACATTGCTTTATCAGCATGCCTGCAATTTTTTATTTTCATTTTAATTGTATTGAAAATTTAGAAACATATTTGAAGTTAATTTGCCTGTAGGAAGATAGAAAACATATATAAAATTACTCTACTAACTACTGGATGATGAAAGTTGGAACCAATGCTTAAGCTGTGTTTGGTCGTTTTCTCCACTTATGTTGAATCTTTCTTGTCTCGTGCACATTCTAAAGTCCTATTTCAAATTGCTACTACTTGAGGTCTCAAAAAAATCATGTTTGTGTTTTGGCTACATCATTTGATAATGCCTGAGAGAGTACAGATTATGCTGAGATCTGAAACATAATCTGTGTCAGTTGGATCAGCCAATTTTGTCAACTGTAGTTGCTATAAACTCATTTGAGTCTCAGAATTTGAATTTGAAGCTGTTCATATTTCTTCTTTGGTTGAAACCTATAATTTTCCCACACTGGAAGCGGATTTGCCCTGTTCTTTATCCCAATATGAAGACACATTTCCTCTATTTTTCTGGTTTGTGAAAATCAGCACACAAAATAATAATACTTCTGGTTCTTAATATAAGAAAAAAAATTACTAGTAATTTTTAGACTCATTGAAGAATCAATGTATCTGAATTATATGCAGTCTAAATATATTAATTTTTCAATGAATCTAAAAAATAATTTTTTCTTATATTAAGGACTAGAGAGAGTACAATATAACATATTCTAATCAACCGGGAAACTTTTAAGTTCATTTTGGATAAATAGATTATTTGCAATTTATTAACTTATATCACCGGTGTGTTTATCATTGTAAACACATGTGTATAAGCTGTTTTTGCTTTAAAAAAATTATTGAATAATTTATAGGTTTCTTTCTTAAACTGTTTTTTTTTTTAAAGTTAAAAATAGCTTAAGAATAATATCATAACTTATAACTTATTTTTGTACATTGAGTCAAAAAGTCTCACAAAATAATCTTATTTAAATAAATTTAAATAAGTCAATCTAGATCTTAAAATTTAGTTCTTTTAAAGCTTCATCACATATTTCTCTCAAAAATATTGACTCAAAACAAGCCTAAAAATCAATGTTGATATTCAAACAAACCCGAAAATGAGATGCGCATACTGTGGTCCAGATTGCAACTTTGTTAAATGTCAATGGTGATGGCTATCTCCATCCAATTTCATAAATGAATCACTATTGTCCTGAAGCAGACCTCTCAACAGTTCTTACATGCTATGGCCATAAAAAAAAATCCCTGTGACTGAGTTTACCCCAGAAGAATATTCATGTTATAATCAATACATTATACATGTCATATTTTTCTTATAAATCAAATCTAATTAATCTTCTGGTAATTTTAAGATCACATTACTTAATGTTATGGTTCAATGGCTATGCACTGCATAAAGTAAGAAGAAACTTTCAAGTATGACTTAAAACAGCCATAGTCAATTTTGAAGTTAATTAGTACATTCACATTTCTTATCAAAATTGATTGAAAGAACATCTAATAACTATAGTAACCCACTCATTTTTAGAAACTATACCATAACAGAAATTTCCATCACCTTTAAATAATCATCTGTTAATCCATCACTCTTCCACAACAAACACATTAATGTCAACAAACATAATCTGCATTCAGCACAGTCCCACTGGCAATAAACACCAAACAAGTAGCACTAATAATGCATCGTAGTTCAAATGCCAACATCAACAAAATTTATTCAAGTATAACCCACTTCATGTTTCACACCCAAACCTAATAATAGCATGAAACATCATCAAAATGTATTTTAAAAGTAAAATTATTAAGACTTGTTCCTCAAGTTACCAGAAAACACTTGATTTTTTTTCTATTTCAGAAATTTACAATTTACAATTTACCAGCAAACTATTCATCACAATGCTATTTTTTTCTTCTTTTGTTCTTCCTGCTATCTAAAGCAAAATATACATCAAATTAGCCTAACCTTGATATACCACCTTTCATTGATGTGTATGCTGACAATTAAAGCATCTAAAGAAACATTTCACCAAACTTCAAAAAAAAAAAATTTCATGTTTCTTTATATTTCATTCCCTCTACCACTTCTTCATGCATCAAAACACTTCTTCTCACAAAACATGGTGATGATGAAGCATTCTTTCTTCTCTCTCACACTTCTTCTAATGGTTTTTGTCTCTTCCACTACAATTCTAGCTCAGAAATCACCTGCTCCGTCACCATCCGCTGATTCACCCCCGACGGACATTATTCGAATCCTCAAAAAGGCGGGAGGGTACACCACGCTAATCCGTCTTCTCAAGACGACACAAGTATCCACCCAAATCAACTCTCAGCTCTTAAACTCGAACGGCGGTTTAACCTTGTTTGCAGCAAACGACAACGCTTTTTCAAGCCTTAAACCTGGTTTCCTCAACTCCCTTAGCGATGAACAAAAGAACAAGCTCATCCAGTTCCACTTGCTACCTACATTTGTAGCAATATCGAATTTCGACACTCTTAGCAACCCGGTGAGGACACAGGCTGGTGATGATCCGTATAGGTTGGCGCTGAATGTAACAAGTTCAGGAAACCAAGTGAATATAACGACCGGTATTGTTAATGTCACGGTTGGTGGAACTGTTTACACCGATCACCAGCTCGCGGTTTACCAAGTTGACAAGGTGCTTCTTCCTCGGGACTTCTTTGTTGCTAAGCCTCCTGCACCTGCTCCAGCGCCTGAGAAGGCTAAGACACCGTCTAAGAAGAAATCTACTGACAGCGATGATGTTCCAGCAGGAGACGATGATTCTGGTGCTTTTACTGTGAAACAGCGGCGTCTGATGTTGGTTCCTGTTGCAGTTGCTACAATTATAGTAGCATTACTTTCATGGTGAAGATTGAAGAAGATCATATGTCAAAGGTTAATCAAACATGAAGCTACCATGCAATTGGGGAGGGTTAATTGATCTACATTTTGTAGATTTATATCTAGTGTTTTTTCTATTGTTGTCTGTTATTTTTCTTTATTTCTGGTTTCTCATATCAACCAAATCAGTTTGTATGTATGCTGCTGTTAAAAGAAAAAAAAAAACTATGCTAAATTGGGAAAGCTTTCTATGAAAAAAAAAACAGTTATCCTGAAATCTTATGTTATTAAGTCACTTTAGAATTTAACTATGCCATGATCAAAAGTAAGTGACTGAAGGAGTTGTGTTTGTTGTTAATTCAACCACTTTAAATTATTATTTTTATGAGAAATATAATTGATGAGTATTATTGATGGAATCAAGTGTCTTATGTACATGAATTGGTAAGATAAAGAATGAAAATAAATCATACTAATCATGACTCACGAAGACTCATAATACTCTTGATTATTGACTAATTCCACCTAATAGTATTTAGGTCAATAATAGTAATAACATAAAGATATTCTATCATAGTAATAATATAAAGATATTCTATCACACTAAAGTCTTGACGGGAGCATGTCCAACGCCGAGACTATTCCTAAAATCCTAAAAGAAAACCAAGGAAAAGATCTTTGATGAAAATATTAGCACTTTGATAATGTGATGGGACATGAAAGATGCGCATTTGGCCAAATGTCATTTTTTTTTTCTTTCGATATGCATGTTCTTTATTTTTATCCAATGACATTCTTGAATATCACATATGCTTATCTCTCAGATGTTTTTTTAGATTGAATCTTTTGTTCTAATATTCTTCCAGAACTTATCTAACATTTTTCTAGATATTTCTCTTTATTCTGATACTTTTCTAGAATCTATCAGAGGTTTAATGAATATATTTGTCTCTCTAATGTTCTTCTAAATTGAGTCTTTTGTTCTGATGGTTTTCCATTATTATTTTGACGACCTTCTAGAATTTGCTTTACTCCCTAGTGAGTTTCCAGATATATACCTTTGTAATTCTGGTGCTTTTCCAAAATTTCATTTCTTTTACCGTCTGATGATTTTCCAGATGTGTCTTGCTTCTGATGTTTTTTCAGAACCTCCTTTGTATTTATTTAACATTCTTTCAGATACGACTTTGTTTCTGATGTTTTTCCAAAAACCCCTTTTGTGTCTATCTGATGTTCTTCCAAATACGACCTTGTTTATCTGATGTTCTTCCAGATATGATGTTGCTTATCTGATGCTCTTTCAGATATGTCCTCAAACCCTTTTCCTGTACATTTAAAGCTTTCTAAATGTTTCAGATGTATCGTCAGAATCTTTGTCTTTATCTAATACACTTCTAGATGTCTTCAATTTATTTCTAACTATGGTTAACAGCTGCTGAACGTTTTCAAGGTTGTTTCCATTTTCCATCCAATGCTTTTCTAGATATGTTTTAGAGTTTATTGATGTTTTTTCGAATATCTGATATTTCCAGAGTTTATTCAAAGCTCTTATGAATATCTCTGATGTTTTACGGAGTCCATTCAATACTTTTCTAGATGTCTCTGATGTTTGTTATATTTTCCAGAGTTTATTCAATGCTTTTCTGAATGTCTCTGATATCTGCTAGTTTGTCTCTCATGGATTTCTCAAAATTCTCCTTACCTCATTCAATGATCTTTTGAATGTTGTGACTCTTTTTCATCCAGTTCCATTCATAAATAATGACTGTTGATTCCGCAGTAGAGCTTATTCAATTCTATTCTGAATATCTCTGTTGGATGCTTGCTTATATTCCAAAGTTCATTCAAGGCTCTCCTGAATGTCTTTGATGGTTGTTGTTGTACTTTCCTAGAGTTTTGTTTAATACTTTTCTGACAAAATCTCTGATGACTGTAACCCTTTCCCCACATCTGATGTTTTCTCGGATGTCTGTATCTCCATTTAGGTTTTGTCCCTCTTCTTTTCAAGTATTATTGGATACTCTCTGTCCCCTTGACAGATGTCTATAATACCTTGTATTCCTCAGTTGTGTCTTCTTGATATTTTTTCCCGTGGAATCTTGCTTTGTTTGCTAAGTTGTTCCTCATTGGGTCTTTCATTCTTTAGGTGTACTTTCAGCAATATTTCTATATACATTTATCCCCTGTGGCATCTTTTTCCCACAGGATCTCTGTCTTGCATTCATATCATTTCATATCATGTGCATCTTGTGGCATCTTAGGGGAAAAATTGTGCATGTTTGTATTTAAGTCTCTCCTATCTCATCGAGACGAAGATTTCAATCTCCATATCTTCGAATAGAAGAAACTTAAATAGGGGCATCTGTCATATTCTAAATTTTGACCCTGAGATTCTGTTTTTTTTGTTTCGTATTGTCTGCATAGCATAACATGCACTTCATCTTGCATAGTGTCTGAAATGTCAGTCAGAATATTTTTTTTGGATTTACAGACAAATCGGTCTAAATTTATTTCAAAATCTGACCAAATGTTGTATTTTTTCCAATATGTTTATTTCGCGCTGATTGTTTTGGTGTGTTCATTTTATTTTTTTCGAGCACTTTTTTGCCCGACTTTTTATTTTGTTTTTTAATCATTTTTATTTATTTATAGTTAAATAATCATTCAATTTATTTAGATTTAATTAGATATTTAATTTAAATTTAAATTTTTCATTAATTAATTTTATTTTTAATTTGTTTATTAATATTTTCTTCTTTTTATAAAAACACAATAACATAATATTTAATTTCTTTTTATTTTTGCCTCATTTTTGTGTAAATAAGCATAAAGCATGATCAGGACAAATTCAATTAATCAATTAACACATATTAGACATGTCGAACTTAAAAAGGAAAATATCAAAACATGTTTCAAACATCAATCAGGGCAGAATCAAACATAATAAGCCGAAAACGGAAATGAGAATTGATGGCGTTCAATCCCTAAAGCCTATAAAAGCACACCTCAAAAGTACACAAATTTCATTCACTACTATCCCATACACACTTCACACGTACACAAAATACACCACAATCCGTGTCACCAGATAGCTGCCGTGCACCTGCATATATTTTTTTTGTTTGGGTTGTTTTGAGAATCGCTCCCTTTTTCTCCGCACTTTAAGAAAAAAAAGGTATGTGTGCTTCTGTTAACTTTTCCTGTCTTCATTCTATGTAGTAACATTTATTTTAGTAATTTGTATAATAGCTACATAGGCCATTTTATTTGTTTAATATTATTAGTATACATGCTCTTTTCTCCTGACAAATCACGTGCACATGATATTGGTAGCCATACCACATTTGTTTTTCATATAATATAAATTGCTTGTTTATGTATAATAATCATATAATGTTTTTGGACTTAAGTTTATTTATTATTATTTGATGTATTAAATCAAATAAATTCGTTTTTTTTGTAGATACACAAATTATCAAATATCATAAAAATATAAAAAAAACATGTAATTCATTCAATTAGTTTTATTAGAATTTTAGTTTAATTAATTTTAAATAGATTTTAGTTTATTTATAATTTATTTTAATTAGTTTTAACTAGAATTTAGTTTAACTAGTTTAAATTAGATTTTAGTTTATTTAATTAATTAGTTTTTAATTAAATTTTGGTTTAATTAGAAATTGGTTTAATTAGATTTTATTTAATTCTTAAATGAATCTTGAGAATTTGTATTTTTCATTTTTAGTTAATTTCTGATGTTCATTTTGAATTTAATTCTTGATGTTTTTGCTTGTGATTAAGTTCCGTTTTTGATGCCTATTCTCTTGTGCCTTTTGGAACTATTATGATTTGCCTAATTATTTCATTCCAAAGGAAAGGATCCCTTTTATTGACTGTCATGTCATACTTAGCCTAACTTTAGGTCCTTCCTGTTTCATCCTAGCTCTTGGATTAGAGTTGGCACACTCTTTGTATGTGTTCTGTCATGGACACTTGCTTCCCTTTCATCATAGCCCTAGGATTAGAGTTGCTGCACTCTTTATATGTATTCTTCCATGGACATTTGCTTCCCTTTCATCCTAACCTTAGGATTAGAGTCGTCGTATTTCATGTGAGTGTCTTACCATGGAAATTTCCTTCCCCGGTTAACCTAGCCTTAGGTTCAGAGTCGCTACGCTCTATGTAAGTCTCTTGCAAGAGACACTTACCTCCCCCTTGAAACCTTGACCTTTATTGAGGAAAACTGCTCTATGTAAGTCTCTTGCAAGAGACACTTACCTCCCCCTTGAAACCTTGACTTTTATTTAGGAAAACTACGAATGCTCTAATTTCATTCCTATTAAAATACGTATGGAACATGTCAGATTAAAAACAGAAACATCATCATTTCACAATTAATAGCAGCATATTTTTCTGATTCAATTCAAAGTTCGTAAATTTGCCTATAAAAAGGCACAAGCATTGCAAGAATGGAGAGAGCGAGATCTAACAATACAACGCTACACCACCACACATAGTTACCACCACTACGGTGATTCTCCTACTCTCCCTGCGAGTTTCCTTTCTTTGATTCTTTATCTGTTTCGTAAAAGCTCCTCTCTCTATTTATCTTTTCCGTTCACGTTACATACTGTCTATTTTTTCTTGTTGTAACATTAATATGATGTTTGTTTTGTTTTAGAGATAAAAATATACTTTAATATTATTACCTCATTATTTCACTTTTAGCCTTAAAATCCTGGATACACATGCATCATGCAGTAAGTATACGCAAGATTAGAAGTTATCACCATGCCACATGATTAATGTTTGAAAAGTCAAAACCTTTTTTTCTTTTGTTTATTTGTTTTTTTATTCATTATGTTTTTTTAATTTTATTTGTACATTTCTTATGTTGCTATTATTAGTGGGAAAACAAACAGTATCAACGTGACCACTTTGCCTTTAGTTTTTTTTTTCACTATTAAAGTAATTACTGCATGTTCTAAAGAGTGCACCGCCCCCTATCACTTTGTGAATTTTTTTAGG